TATTACTATTACTATTATTGTTATTATTATTATTATTACATCTGACCAGAATTGACTGTCAGCCTGGTCTGGTGACTTCAGAGAGTCGTGCATCCTTTGCAACAGGGCATGTGATCATGAGTACAGCACTGCTTGTTCGGAGAAGTCTTGGAATTTCGGTCCATGTCGGCGGCTTCAGAGATTTCCTGACTTCCAAACGTGTTTGAGAGTCTGACGGGAAAGACCCCCAGTCGCAAACCCTAAACCCTAAACCCTAAAACCCTAAAACCCTAAAGCCCTAAACCGGCCCATGCAGCTTCAGGACTTTCGCTACGAGGTGGAGCTATGTGCCAAAGCTCCGTGTGCCGCGATCACTTTTGACACGGTGGTCGATTTCGGCGCGATAGCCGGCGACCTACCTCCAAGCTTGTCGAACATTCTTAGAGACGAACGACTGCATTACTTGCTGTGACTGGTCGCAGGTCACAAGAAGAATTCATCAGCGAGAAGTTATCCTGCCACCGGGCTGAAGTTGTCGGCTTCGGCTTGCTCCCTAAATCCCAAACCCTGGGCCCCAAACCCTCATCCAAACCCTGCGCAGGGCGGCGTAGGGTTCGGGGTTGGGGGCGACTATAACCCTAAACCCTAAACCCTATACCCTAAACACCCTCCTCGGCTTCGCATCCGAATTGCCGTGCTCACAGGCGCAACGAAGGCTCGAGAGCAGCGACGCGCCCTGGAAGCAAGGATTGAACCAAGGGTTTAGGGTTTAGGGTTTAGGCTGCTCCGACTATCCTGATGACCCTGCCAGAAAGTGTCAAGGTGTCCGTGCGTCCGTCCGTCTGTCGGTCTGTCTGTCTGCATTGCCTGTCAGTGTTTATGTGAATGGTTGTATATGCATGTAGGTATGTAGGTATGTACCTACATATGTTGTGCATGCATGTCTGTATGCGTGTAATTTTGTGTGCATGCAGGTAGGCAGGTAGGTAAGTAAGTAGGCAGGTAGGTCGGTAGGTGGGTGGGTAGTAGGTAGGTAGGTAGGTAGGTAGGTAGGTAGGTAGGTAGGTAGGTAGGTGTAAGTAGACATGTAAGTGCACATGTACATCCGTACTTGCATAGGTAGGTAAGGCGCTAGACACATATATACACAGGCACACAGACTCATGACAGATAGAGAGAGAGAGATGTATATATATATATATATACATATAGGATAGGAACAGAATGCATACACACATGGATATCGGTATCTTTTGGATGGTGTCTGCCATGTGCTTCCGTGGCATACTTCATGTTTGCATGTTCTGCTGGCTCCTGCTGCATTTGTCTGCAGCTGTGTATCCGCGGCTTGATTAAGGGATTTGGGTTGAGGGATTTCTGTGTGTGTTGCTATCCTGACTATCAGTCGCGCGAAAGGCACGCTTACTCCACGCATATACATGTCAATAAACCCTACACCCTCAGCCCTAAACCCCAAATCGTCAGGCCTCTGCAGGAGCCCTTGAGTATGAAGCCCTTGTAGGAACACGTATATAGAGGAACCTCTAGAGCCGCCGAGGTTTGACTTCATCTCGCCTTCCAGAGCTTTGAAGCCCAACCCGCCGTCTGGGAAGATCGGCCCTGCGGGCAGCTCGGAAGACGTGAAGCGGGTAAAGCTCGAGCTGACTCAAGAGCCGCCGGTCTGCACTAGCAGAGACGCTATGCATGCAGATTGTAGCTTTAGGGTTTAGGGTTTAGGGTCTCGGGTTTAGTAAATATGATAAGGAATAACAACGATGATGATGATGATGATCATGGTTCTGATTGCAACAATACGAAGTGAGGTCCAGGGGAAGAGCTGCAAGTCTACTGGCAATAATCATGCTCCTACTTACAGTTGTAGCAGGGGGGGGGGGTACTAAGGAGCATAGAAGCAGCGCGGAGGGGTTGCCGTTGGCCCCAAACCCTCATTATAAACAGGGTACCCCTTTTAGATTCCAAGATGAGTTCGGGCTTCCGGATTTGCACAGCGGTTCCATCTGTCGCGGGGCCTGCAAGGGTACTGGTTCTCAGGTGTCTGCTTGGTTTCTCAGCACGATTTAGGGTCGGGTTCTTGGGGTCTAGCTATTCGGGGAAGAATACATACAAACACAGACACACACACACACATATGTATATGTATATGTATATGTATATGTATATATATATATATGTATATACTTCTCTTTGTGTATATATACAAACATATATATATATATATTCTCACACTTATATACATATGTATATATATATATGTATACTTCTATATATATATATATATATATATATACACTTACATATATATATATATACTCACACACTTATATACGTATGTATGTATGTATATATATATACACAGACACATACACACACACACATACATACATACATACATACATACATACATACATACATATATATATATATACATACACATACACACACACACACGTATGGAGATGGACTATTGATGAGAAGCTATAGAGGAGTTATTCTTCAGAGTTGCTTCTGTCCTTGGCGCCGCCAAAGGACGCCGGGTACAGTTCACGAGCTGGTTCAGCTCAATCTGCATGGGCTCAGCTCGCTGGTGCCCGCCAACAGGACCCGTGGCAAAAATATTTATGATAACAGGAACTGCAACGGCAGCAGTAGGAGTCGTAAGAGTAGGAAGAATCGCAATCATCGTAATCATAAACAGCCAGCCCCTCTGCATGGGCATGTGCGCTTCAGGGTCAAAGTAGCACGATTTGCTAGTCTTCAGCCCTGAGAGGTTTTTAGGGTGTAGGGGGTCCACCCTACAAGTTCTGAGGTTCCAAGCCAAAATTCGGTAACCCTCAAAGCCCTTCATGACATGACAATCCCCTAAAATAAATCCCTGAACCCCGGCCAGGCTCTCTGCTCTTCATCTGGGTCCGTTAGGTTTTGGGGCTTGGGGTTTAGGGGTGCTTGGAGGTTCATGGGTAGTTATAAGTGGGGTTATAATAAGTAGGGTAACTATAGTTATAACCCAAATGAAATTAGGGGACTTAAAACCCCACTTATAACTACCCATGAACCTCCAAGTGGGGGGTCTAGGATTCTTCAGGGCAGTCTGATGTCTGACGAAGCAGAGGACCGTGGATGTGCATGCCCAGTGCGTCGACCAGACGCTGCAGGTGTACAAAGATGGACAGGTCATAAGCAGCCCTGGCCGCAGTAGAGGAATTTTAGGGTTTAGGGTTTAGGGGTTTAGGGTTCAGGGTTTAGGGTTTAGGGTTTAGGGTTTTGGGTTTAGTTTTTTTTTTTTTTGCATGTTTCCCTCCGCAGGTCCTAAACCCCAAACCCCAAGCCCCATCAAAAGCTCTCAAGCCTGAGCCCTAAACACAAACCCCTGATATAGAAGCCTGGAGAATTAGTAGCGCTACGCCTCAGGGTCCTTATTGTAGTCGTCCTGCACAAGACCCCACAAACCCTTTTGTAGTTATTCGTGTCCTATATGGGGGTTTCCAGAAATAGGGGACCCTAACATAGTACCCTGGATAGTAGGATCCTTATTATAAGGACCCCCAAATAAGGTACCCCTTGCTTTCGAAAACTCCCGTATTGCCATCCTAAAGCTCAGGGCCCCGAACATCCTCATGCCAGAGCCCTATGCCCAAACCCCTAATAAACCTCACCACAGAGAGCCCTGAAAGGAAGCCCCTTATAGAAAGCCTGACAGGAAACCCTCAACCCTAAACCCTTAGCCCTAAGCCCTTAGGCCTAAACCCTAAGCCGTAAGCCCTTATAGGAACCGTTATAGGAACTAAACCGAGGCAGCCTGGATTTCGGGAACTTGTACCATGGCCTGACGAAGGCACTGGCCGGTAAAACGCTTTTTTCAAGCGGGTTTTGCAGGAGTTTTCCTCTTTAGCGTCTTGAGGTTTTTAGGGGTTTTTGCTTTTTCAGAGGGTCGAGGAGTGTGGGTTTTGGTGTACCTGGGATTGTGGACCTGGAGTCAGTGCCGCCCTCAGTAGCCCCTAAACCCTAAACCCTAAGCCCTAAACCCCCTGAACCCTAAACCCTAAACCCTAAGCCCTAAACCCCCTGAGCCCTAAACCCTAAACCCTAAACCCTAAGCCCTAAACCCCAAGCCCTAAACCCCCTGAGCCCTAAACACCCTAAGCCCTAAACCCCCTGAACCCTAAACCCTAAACCCAAAGCCCTAAACCCCCTAAATCCTAAACCCAAAGCCCTAAACCCTGAACCCTAAACCCCCTAAATCCTGAACCCTAAACCCTAAACCCTAAGCCCTAAACCCCTGAATCCTAAACCCAAAGCCCTAAACCCCCTAAATCCTAAACCAAAAAGCCCAAAACCCCCTGAATCCTAAACCCAAAGCCCTAAACCCCCTAAATCCTAAACCCAAAGCCCTAAACCCCCTGAATCCTAAACCCAAAGCCCTAAACCCCCGAAACCCTAAACCCAAAGCCCTAAGCCCTGAACCCTAAACCCCGGCTCTGGACAGACCCTGCGCGTGGAGCTCGTGAACGACGGGCCGACCTCCTGTGGTTTCAGTGCTTCGGTTCTTGAGGCGGGAGAGATGGAGGGTTTGGGGTTTATTTATTTGCTTTAAGGAAGCCCTAAACGAGAAACCTTTAGGGTTTAGGGATGTTTAGGGTTTAGGGTTTATCCGATGAAGGTTCCTTGCGAGGTCACTGCTCCTACAAGGGCTCCCATAAAGGGTTCAAGCCCTGGAACACCAAGGCCCAAAAGCCCGAAAACCCTAAGATCCCAAACCCAAAACCCTCAACGTGGAATCCTAAACCCTACATCCAGACTGAGCCCCAGGCGCACGAGGGGGACGGTGTGGACCTCGGTTGATGTCTTCGGAGTGTTTCGGGTGCAAAATGTAAACACACATCAATTTTCTTATTTCTCGATGCCTTCCGAGGCATGGCAGCCACCGCGGGCACCCTGCCCGGGGCCTCTTCCCCCTCAGAGACGGTGGAGAAGGAGCTCAATATTAGGGGCTTAAGGGCTTTGGGATCAAGATTTTCAGGGCTCGATTCCTTGATTGCGACAGTTCCGTTTCATCCAAGTGATGCCACCACCCTAAACCCTAAACCCTAAACCCTAAACCCTACACAAAGCCTTCGCATGATTGTCGGAGGCGCAGCAGCCTCTCAGTGTCACGCCTTTCGCGGGGACGGTGCCGCTGATGCAGAGAAAGGCTCTCGTGAGTCTAGCGTTTATAGCATTTCGGGTGCTTAGCCCTAAACCCTAAACCC